ATGGTGGCTATTGACATTATTTAATACTTTAGGAATTTCACTTCTGTACCCTCTGAGATTACTATTTCATATTTTCTCCAATCTCCTTAAACCTCAAATGGCTCTAAACTCTCTTTACTGTCAGTAGATGGCATGGGTCTTTTTGAACTGAGAAAATGGACACAATTAGAACAGAGCATCCTCAGAGCTTCCTCGCCAAGCATCTGTTACTGGATCTGTGCTGTGCCCTCCTTTCTCCTCCTGACAATGCTGTTCCTGAGTCCATCTGAGATGGCCCTCTCCTTGGGCATTGGAGAATCCCATTCTTCCACGGATTGAACAGCACCATTTTCAATAACCCCCTCAAGCTTCCGACTCTTCAGTTGGATCTTTCCTTTCCCTACACTGGCAAAATGCAAGATAGTTCATGGAAAAATAAAGCAACTGGATTCCAAGCCCACTCCGATTTTTTCTTCCCTTATGTAGTAAAACTCCATAAGATTCTATATGTGCAATTTCTTCTTCATCATGCAGTATTTTCATAAGTGCTTTCATAGCTTTAATTGTATACGTATAATTAATATGGCAGCAAAGAAGGCATTATGTCACTTTCAGGAAATCTATAGCCTCAGATGTACTGAAAAATCTTTCATAGGCGAAGCCTTGACCATACTCATTGCATCTATTTTCTTTCTCTCCAATATGAGTTATGATTTAAAGGTGAGATCATGTTCCGTCACGATGGCTACAGAGAGTTGCTCCAGTATGCCTTTTTTTGTTTTTGTGTTTTATTGTCAAGCACATTTGCACATATGCCGCAACCATCATTTTCAAAGCATTCTCTTCCCACTTGAGCCCTCCCTCATGAACCCGTGATAAGTTATAGATGACTTTTTCCATATCTTGCATCATCCTCTGTCACCCTTCACCCACTTTTCCATTATTTGTCCCCCTGGGAGGGGTTCTAGGTGGATCCCTGTGATCAATTCCCCCTGTCTCCCCCCACCCTCCCTTAACCCTCCTGGTATGTCTACTCTCCTTGTTGGCCCTGAGGGGTTTATCTATCCTGGATTCCCTGTGTTGCGGGCTCTTATCTGTTGCAGTGTGCATGTTCTGGTCTAATCAGATTTGTAAGGTAAAATTGCCGTCATGATAGCGGCGTGAAGGAAGCACCAAAGAACTCATCTCTTCCCGGTGACCCCTCTGTGAAGGGATGTCCAATTGTCTACAGATGGGTGTTGGGTCTCCACTCCATGCCCCACCCACACCCCCATTCACCTTAGGTATGTTTTTTTTCCTTCTGGATCTTAGATGCCTGATCCCTGATCCCATCAACAACACCTTATGATCACACAGGCTGCTGTGTTTCTTCCATGTGGGCGTCGTTGTTTCATATGACTTTTGATGAGTAAACAAGTTACATATCATATAAAATAATTTTTTTTCACCCCTTTCCACGCCTAGTATGAATATATGGGCTTCCTTTAGTATGAGTACGACTATGGGTTTTGTGGGCTGTAATGAGATTTGACTTGTACACAAAAGCCTCTCAGTTTGAGCACACGTACTACTAAGTTTGCCCTCATTTGTGAACTCAGTGCTGCAGGTTTTGATTTCCTAATGAAGCATTTGCAAGATCTTTTAAAGACTACAAGCAGGGTGTTTTCTTAGAATTCCTGGGTTTTGGTTTGTTAGAAGTTTTCTCCCATGAAGGTCAGGCTGTGAACTCCACGCCAGCATACGATATAAATGACTTTGTTTTCCTCAGAGTATCATGCCCGAAAGGGCTTGATGTTCTTCTGACCCTCTTTGGGGACACTAATTTTGATCATCTGTGAAAGATGCTGCCTGATTCTCCACTGTGCAGTTACTAACAAAATATCTGAATCAAATAATTGGCCACAAAAATACCTTCTTCATCAGCAAACACCTTTCCCCCACCCAGCTTTTACATATTTTGATAATTCTTTCAATCTAAAACTCCTTTGAATATTTATCAGTTAACATTATTTTATAAGAAAGGCTCATCTCCTCCATTATTTGTCTATTTACCTATCTTTATTTCTATAATCTATTTATATCCCTATTTTATATATTATCAGGGTACTCATAATACCTCTTAAATTTTATTTTTTCTTGATAACATTGATATTCTTTGCTTTCTTTTTTGGTTAACATTTGAATTTTCTATCTCTGCCAAACCTATTAATTTATTTCTTTTTAGTATTTTCTTTTAGTAGCTAAGTTTCATTCAAATCTAGTGTTTAATATGTTCACTTTCCATTGCTGATACTGATATTCTGAAAGTAGTAGAAATGCCCAGCAAGACTAGACAAATAATTCTTATTATTTCCAAATAATAATGTTTTCCAAAATAATTAAAATTAAAGAGGTAATTTGTTCGTTTTACCTAAAATATAGCGATGGAAGGGATTAAAACTTTTACTTTGAAATGTCACTGTCGATAAAAGGTCAGGGTCAAGAGTGGCAGCTGACTCGTTTTTGTTTTGGGTGGTGGTTGTTTTCTCCCTAATGTTGAGTAATAATGACTGCCATGGCGGGTCTCCACTGAGTACTTCCACCAAAGGACAGAGAACCTTGGCGAAATGATTTCCTCCTCATTTACTTGGCCTTCAGACGAGGCTATACAGTAAGTTGATTATCTTCATTGTCACAGGGTTATCTAATTAATGTGAGTGAAAAACATTTTGTGCTTCCACAGATGAAAGATTTGGAAATCATTCAATGCTATTATGTGCTATTTTCTTATTCTTTAAGTAAAAGCTTAATTAGTGACTTTGAGAAGGAAATGAGAAGCAATCAAGCACATTATGTTTTGGAAGATTCATCTTTCTACAGTAAAAATGCTTCCGCCATGAGGTTCATTATGTCCCGTGCATAATTCAGTTCCCAGAACAACAATGTATTTACTGAGAATGCAACATGCCACTGAGATCTGCCAGTATAAATGATACCACTATAAAGTTGTACAAACGTTTTTCCATGCACAAAATAGAAACCTCAAACCCAAGGAAACCCAAAACCTCATATTAAAATAGCAACATTTCATATTTTCTAATTGAAGCAGTGCTACCTTGTCTTTTAGGGTTGCTATGTGTTGTAATTGACTCACTGTCAAGCAACAACAATCACAACACGACGCTCTAATTTTACGAAAAGATTTAGACATACAAAAGGGTGAAATAAAATGTGAAATAAAAACCTAAACTCACTACCATCAAGTCAGTGCCCCTGCTGAATCCTAGGGCCCTGTTATAGGACAGGGTAGAACTGCCCTGTGAGTTTCTGAGACTGTAACTCCTATAAAAATAGTTTCAAACATGAGAGAGAGAGCGAGAGTGAGTGAATGGTGAAGCTAATTAGGTACAACTATACACTTGTGGGATTCGCTTCATTGGTTCATGGTTTCATGAGACTACCAGTCAATTGGCCTAACACTGATTTTAGAGTTTCTGATCTACTCCCAGTCCTGTGAGTAGTGCCCAGGGTCTAATGTAAGCTTGCAAATGGTCATTTAAGATAGGAAAATTGATCTCTATTTACCTGGAGTAGCAAAGGAAAAAAGAGACCCAGGAGTCAGAGAAGAAACTAGTTGCTTCCATAAACTCCTGCCTCCTCTGCCAAAAGGTCGAAAGAATTACATAGTGCAAGCAACTATTGACAAAGGCTTGATTAAGGACTCAGTAGATGAAGCTTGATTAAAGGGGGAAATAGGTAGGGCACAATTTCAAATTTCTTGCAGAATCCAGCCTTAATGGGCCCACTGAGGTGGGAGGAAACGCCCTGTTATCCTCAGAAAATCTGTAACCTTGACCTGAAACTATCCCTTGAAGTGCTCTTCAAACTACATAATAGTTTAGCCGAATTAGTAAAGAATGCTTTCCTTGAACATTTTGGTCTTTGAAAACATCATCTGGTATCAGACCAAACTGCCACCAGTCACTCTAAATCACAGATGTGTGTTCTATGGGTCACGGAGTATGTCAATGGTGGTGAAATAACGTGGGGTGAGATGAGGATGGTGATACAATGTGAAGAATTTCACCACTGGCATTGAAACGGACATGTCGAAATTATTGGATGAGGATATGATTTGCTGTGCATATTTTCAGTGGAAATAAAATGTAAAGATAATGTTCTAAAAACATTTCTCTTAATTACGCTATTCTAATCAAACAAAAAATATGGACTGTAATGTAGAGAATTCCCTGCCCACCTGTTTCCCTTTCCTCTGTTTGTGCACTGGGTTCCAGGTTGCTGTCGCTCTGGTTAGATGCCCTGGAATCCATTTCAACTCATAGCGATCTTGTGTACACAGCAGGCAGACACTGCCTCTTCCCATGTCATCGTCATAATTGTGTAAGCCCATTGCTGCAACCGTGTTATGAATCCATATCACTGAGGCTTTTTCTCACTCTGACTGACCGTCTACTTACCAAACATGAAGTCCTTTGTCAGAGATGGGTATATCCTGATAACATTACTGGATTTTGTGAAACAAAGTTCACAAATATTTGACACGTTATTAATATATTACTTTTGTTCCTCCTTGGAAATTTTAAAATTAGGTTAAGGTCATATCCTTTTCAGAAAGGGGAACATATCAGAGTTTTCTTCAGTACTTTTTCTCAAGACAGATATATCTATTGAATCAGATGCTAGCTTACTCAGACACATAACTTACATTTTTACTAGAGTCATTTGCCAGAACTTGCTGGCATGTAGACATAGTGGACGTGAAGTGTCTATCTTAACTCTTGACTGATGAGAAGTTGTAGTCTTTGAGAATAAGAATATCTTCAAATATGAAATGGGTTTTATACTTGTATCTAAGTAACCTTTGCTCCAAGTAGGAAGTTTCCATCTACGTTTCCTTAGCAATATCCTACAAACTTGATGATTGTTTCAGTGGCAGCCTTTAGACTTCTCTTCTCATTACAAGCAGGAGAGCACAACTAACCAATCTCACCCCCTTTAGAAGGCATAACAAGTGTGCTTACCAGGGTAGGAGGAGATGGCATTGATGTGGGTGGTTCTGATGACACCCACCCGGGTCCCACGGTTGTTCTTCATGCACATGCAGATGCAGATGGCAATGCCCGCAATGACGCCCATGATAAATACAATGCCAAACACAATGCCGGCGATGGCAGTGCCCCTGGAAAAGAAAAACCAAAGTGCTCTGATTGAAAAGGTTGCTAATGATTCTTCATTAGCGACAATGAAGCACTTTAAATGTAGTCCCTGACTACATGGCACAGCACATGTCCTTAGGTATACGTATATTTTCTGTATTTTAATATGTAAGGAAAAGTTTAAACCATTAGGGGATCCACTTTCAGCAAAGTTTAGCCATCATCCAGTTTCTGGTTTTAAAAATTAATGTATTTATTCAGAGCACAATTTTACACTTATGCTCTTTAAATAATAATAATAATTACAGTTCTGCTGTGAGATGTTATGATAGGCTTGGTAGTACTTAAACAGCAATGATTATATCTATTGTTCATTGATTATATGTATTCAATGAAAACAACTTGATAAATTGCCAAAATATTAGGTACAATTTAGCATTTATTTCTCATTAAAGCTCTTTATAAAGTAGAATAAGAACATTTCTTCCTTCACAAAACAAAACAAAATATCCTCTTTGACTATTACCCAGAGAATAGGCTGACAAACAAGCATTCCTAATAAATTCAAGAACAATGTAAGTCCAACCTCTATTTCCATTCACGTAGTTTATTCTAGTTCCCTAGGAAGTTCTAATTCTCGTAACAAAGCTGATAAAGAACAAAAAATTGCACGAGTCATTATTATAATGATTTGTAGACAATGTTATTTGCAGGAGTCTAAATTTATCCAGTATTTTGAAACACAATGAGGGACTGCTTATCAAAACGTTAATTTTGAGCAGGTAGTACATTTCTAGTAATGATTCCTAAGGAAATTGTGCTCATTGTGCAAAAGTAATGTAACAAAGATGGCTATCAAAGTGTTCTTGGCAACAGCAAAATGCTTAAAATACCCTAAGGGGGTTGATACAGAATAAAAAAATTGATGCCTTCATAGAATGAATCATATACAATGGATTAAGAAGGATGAAGATGTCGACTTGGGTTGAAGTGACTTGTTGCAGATCCATAATTAATGGTATTTCTACAAATGGAAAAGCTAGTCAACATGAAAATACTAATGTAAAAAGGTACCACTGAGGTAAAATTGTTTTACATATCAGCATTCAGAAAGTGTGTGTAGTAGTTATTGGGTAGGCATGGGTGAAAAAAAATTCTAAATTTTGCTTTCACTTGAAGCACCCATTTTAAAATCTCTCAACTATTTCTTCTGTTACTTTGCTCCATGTTCTGCAATAATATGGTTTCATTTCTTTAAATTAATTTTTATTTTTTATGTATTATGTATTGGCCTCCTCTTACCTTATTTTGGAATTTAAATTGGTCAAATTTTCGTAACTTTATTTCTTGTTAAGTCAAAGCATTTTGTACATTGCACAACGTTTCTCAGGAATAAAAACAAATTTAATGGAACACAATTCGCACACCCTACAATCCTCCCATTTAAAGTACAAATTCAACGGTTTTTAGTGTACTCTGAGAACCATGAAGCCATGGCCGCAGCCAACTCTACAGTCTCTTCATGGCCACAAAGAAACTCTCTGTGTCCTTGATAATGTCTTGCTTTGCCTTCTTGACTATCTTTTCTTATTTCTGATAATACTGATTCTATATATTTGAAACTTCCTCTGTTTCCGGATTTTCCTCTGGTCCTTCTAGGTTCCCCTTTATTAATGATTTAGATCTCTCTCATGTTTGAAGTGTTCTTCAACTGTCCACTGATCCTTAAACGCTCTCCTATTAAAAAACAACACAAAACCCAAGTCCAAATCAAACCCACTGCTGTCGAGCCCTTTCCCATCCGAGCCTATAAATCTCTATGGGAACAGGAAGCCTCATTTTTCTCCCACTGAGTGGCTGGTGGGTTTACCATGCATAGAGTACCCAGTGCATAACCCACTGTAGCACCTGGGCTCCCTATTTAAAATAAGTAAATAAATATATAAATAAGAGGCATTTAAAAAGCAGCCTGGGAGTTTAATGGGAAGAACTTGAATAACAACAGAGGACCCTTTGAGGGGTACATAGATCTTTTCTTTGTAACTGTTCACTTTTCTCCATTAAAAAATTCCTCTGATATCATAGGTGGAGACCCTGACCCTGTCTGCCAGTGTTCTGTGGGCTGCAGATTCATCAAGAAAATCCCACACTTTCACCTCACAGACTCACTCTTTTTTTCCCTTGTGACTGGTGCCTTTCAGGCTTACCTCTGAAGACTTCAAACTCAAGTCTTCAGAAACAAAATCTTTGGGGTTTAAAAGCACAGCCCCCGGAACTCACTTGCCTGGCTATCAATGGGTAACTCTAAGCAAGTTATTCAACGTCTCCTTGCCTTAGTTTTCTTATGACATGAAGGCCAGCTTGGAGTTTATTCGACTATCTTCTCAAATTTCACATCATGTAATACTGGTGCACATGAATTTATTTACCAAATACGTATATTTTTATTCATGGTATTATCTGAGCACGTGCTCTCTATGGTTTTAGGACATGCCCCTGTTTCATCCATATCTTTTGGGACCACACGAGTCTACAGGTCAGAAAGTGTGGGATTTTGAACAGGGAAAACCACATGTACTATACACTGTATGACACTTCCAGGACTAACTAGGAAGGCACACGGGGCATTTACAATGTTGTGGTGAAGTAGGGATTTCTGGAGTGAGTGGAGAGTAACTGAAAAAATAGTTCCAAGTTCATTAAGGTCCCAGTATTGCTACAATGATAGAAAACATTTTATTTTCCAGAGTTCTGTGAAGCTTTCGGAATTGGAGATAAAGGAATGGAAACTTCTATTTGTATTTTTAGGAGTCCTTAGGTGGCTCAAAGGGGCCCTGGTGGTGTAGTGACTTTGAGTTGTTCTGCTACCCATAAGGTCAGCAGTTCAAAACCACCAGCCACTCTCGAAAAATGGGTCTTTCTATTCCTGTAAAGCACTGCAGGCTTGGAAAATCACAGAGAGGGTCCACCCTGTCCTGCAGTGTTGCTATGAGTTAGCATCACTTGAAGGCAGTGATTTCTTTTGTTTTTACGGTGGTTCAACTACTGAACATCAAAAGATGGGGCCCTTGGACCCACCCCAAACACCTTAGCAGACAGGCCTGCCGATCTGCTTCTGAAGGTCCCCCTTGAGAATCGTAAGGAGCAGTTCTACTATGCACATGGGAGATCCCCCTGGGCAGGAGTCAAATCGATGACAATCCACAACCTGTGATTTTTCAGGGGATATTTTCTCCGTAAGATTTTTTTCCCCAACAGCGTAGGAAAATAAAATATCACTAAACATTCCAACAGACACCTTTAAAATATTCCTACCTGCATTTTCACCTTCTCATTGGATTATGAAGAGGGACTAGAAGACATATTGGATGTCTTGCTATTAGTAATCAAAGAATGACAGCATCTCACAACTATATAAATGCAGGCATGCTTGGTTTCATTGCACTTCGCTTTATTGAGCTATGCAGATACTGATATTTTACAAATTAAATGTTGTGGCAACCCTGTGTCAAGTGAATTTGTCAGCTTCATTTCTCAATTGCCTGTGATAGCTCCTTTGTCTCTGTGTCGCATATTGCTAATTCTCACAATATTTCAAACTTTTTCAAAATGTGATCGCACCCTTATCAGACTACATACGGCACATTGTGAACCTAACTTTTGTACACACCAGGAAATCAGACAATGTGTGTGACTCAACGCAATGTTTACTTTATTGATCTGGAATCAAAGGTGTAAAAAATCTTTTCAAGGAAAAAAATATCTATCAAAGGAGATAATTTGAAACAAGAAAACTAAAAATCACCTGGAAATGTCCTTTTCATTACAATTTTCAGGTCTAGGTGAGATTAGAGAGTTTAATTTATGTTCCAGAAATAATCAATGGCCCAATTATTCAGGAACAGAGTCTCCAAAGCGTGGGTTATGAAAGCTGTTAAGATATCAAATTGGGACATATTTATATTCATTATTTCTTGTTTCAAAAGGAGGAAAGAAGAAAAATGAGCCACATCTTGTTTCCCTGTTGACAGCTCCAGCAAAAGTGCCTGCCTGTTCGGTCAATAACGAGGCTGCAGCTCACGTGCAAACGGAGCTCATCGTATTAAGTCATGGCTTTGGTGTCCTTGACCCTCGGATCCCATTAGCAATGGTGAATTTGTTGTCGAAACAGTGGCAAGTATAAAATTTATAGCATTATTTACTCTGCTGTTAATTAAAAAAAATAACAAACTAAGGGGCCTCCCTGCATATACATTACTTGGTTTAGTCCACTGTTTCAATGAGAGAACTTATTAATTTGAGAAAGTTGGCAACATAAAAGCTTCAGAAAACTTTAGGTAATGTATTTTTCCAGGTAATATGTTTTAGATAGTGTATTTATCTGTTTATCTTTGAAAAGAGTCTGTATGGTTTACTTTTTAAAAACTTTCATTTTGAAATCACCATAGAGCCATAGGAAGTTGTGAAAAGAGTAGAGCTGGCCTATGCGGCCCTTCATCCAGGTTCCCTCATTGGTTACCCCTCAGACGATTAGCGTTCTACCAACACAGGAAAGCGATGTTGGTATAAATTAAGTTCTATGCCATTTTCATTACATGTGTAGGTGTATATAACCACTGTAAGCCAGGTACATAGCCTTTCCACCACCACAGATATTTCTGTTGTGCTATTTTTTTATTTACCACTTCTCTGTCATTTTGTGATGATGTGGGCATTGCTGTGATGCTGGAAATTGTGCCACCAATATTTCAAATACAAGCGTCGTGACCCACAGTTGGCAGATTGCAGGGGAGCTTCCAGATCAAGACAGACTAGGAAGAAAAAGTCTGGTGATCTGCTTTCAAAAGTAGCCAATAAGAACCCTAGAAGATGAGTCCTCTAGCTTAGAAGTCACTCAGAATGCACGCTGGTCTAAACAGTTGATGCGAGCACACTAACAGTCATGGAGATAGGGGCGAACTAGGCAACATTTCAGTCTATTAGACATTTGGTTGTCATGAGTCACTGTCAACCTGACGGCAAC